GGTCTGGGTCTGGGTCTGAGTCTGGATCTGGGTCTGGGTCTGGATCTGGATCTGGATCTGGATCTGAGTCTGGATCTGGATCTGGGTCTTAGTCTGGATCTGAGTCTTAGTCTGAGTCTGAGTCTTAGTTTGGGTCTTGATCTGTGTCTGGATCTGGGTCTGAGTCTTAGTCTTAGTCTGGGTCTGGATCTGGGTCTGAGTCTGGGTCTGAGTCTGGGTCTGAGTCTGGGTCTGGATCTGGATCTTAGTCTTAGTCTGGATCTGGGTCTGGGTCTGGATCTGAGCCTGGATCTGGGTCTAAGTCTGAGTCCTAGTCTGGATCTGAGTCTTAGTCTGGATCTGGGTCTGGGTCTGGATCTGAGTCTGGATCTGGATCTGAGTCTCGATCTGAGTCCGGGACGGATTTTAAAACCACACCTAGTTTTATTTTTCTGCAAAGTTTTTGTAAATGTTCTGTCTCCTGTATCCTCCTGCACCGCCTACGACCCGGCACGCTTTTTAACTTTTTCTTTTTAATAATTATTTTTTTTATTTATTCTGGTTGTGTTGGTGCTAAACAACCAAACCAACATGGCCGCCTTTTCCAGGCCGAAAGAAGAGCGGAACAACTGAAACCTTCTGGTTTTTTAGGGCCCACCAAACTCATTTCTCCTCCTTTTTGTACCCACATCTTAAGTGCTTTACAGACTTTACGGTTTTTGGACTGCACGGTCTCCTTTTGAATTGAGTTCACACACACGACTAATTTTAGAAACTGCAGCTTCAGTTTTTTTCGCAGACTTCTGTTTTCCAGTTGCTGCTGGAATGGGAAAAAAAAAAAAAAACGAGACAGATGATAAAATAACATGCAGGAACATGAAATAGATGTGTTACCCTCTGAACAATAAAGCAGAGCTCACCCTTTGTGGCACAGTTTGGTGCTTTGTTAACCTCTACTTGGAGAAAGTTGGTGGGGAAAGTTAAAGGGGACATATTATGCAAAACCAAGTTTTTAATAATTTGATTATGTACATTTGGGACTGTGGAGGGCCTATCAGCAGGCAAAGGGTGAAAAAAAAAGACTCAGTCATGTTTTTGTGGGCCGCCTCAGTCTG